GACGTATTGCATTAGGCAAATCTGCTGCACAGAAACTTTTTAAAGTATTGAAGAGCAAAGATGTCAGCTTGAGGACTAAGGTGCACCTGACCCAAGCCATGGTATTTTCAATAACTTTATATGCATGTGAAAGTTGGACAGTGAATAAGGAAGACCTTAGAAGAATTGATACATCTGAGTTATGGTGTTGGAGGAGAAAATTGAAAGTGCCATGGGCTGCCAAAGGAACCAATAGATCTGTGTTGGAAGAAGTACAGCCAGAGTGTCCTTGGAGGCCAGGATGGCCAGACTTTGTCTCTCATACTTTGGACATATTGTCTGGAGGGACCAGTCACTGAAAAAGGATATCATGTTTGGTAAGGTGGAAGACCCCCAGCAAGACGGATTGGCAAAGTGGCAGCATCAATGGGCTCAAGTGTGGCAATAATTGTGAGGCTGGCCCAGGACCAGGCAGCATTTTGTTCTGGTGTGCATAATAGAATCTCTATGAGTCAGTAGTGACTTGATGACACCTAACGACAACAATTCCTATAAAGGTTTACAGTCTTGAAACTCAGTGGGCCAGTTCAACTTATAGCAGTGGGCTGGGTTTTGTTACATTCTGTATGGGGTCTAAGAAAATCTGTGCTTCCAGATGACCAGTGGTGGCATTGCACAGATGGAAAATGTGATGAATGTCACTGAGTTCTACACTTAAAATGATTCAATTTAAACCATTCATGAAAAACCTTCTCACTCTGTCCCAAGAAAAAAGGCAACGTGTGGTGGTAGGCATCAAGGCCAGGTCCAGGGTGACCTTGTCCAGCTTCCTGCAAACAGGTTCACCTGTGACAAGGTCAGATGATCAGGGACAAGTCAGCCCATCATGAAAAGTACCTTCAAAAGGAGGCACCCATCTGACTGAATTGTCCCAACCTTTTTCCTGGGCCACCCTACTCAGCAGTCTCTGGAGCTTCACAGTTCCTGGATTGGATTCTGTGAAGTATGCGTTGGAATACCAATCCCTAGACCTGTGGGTAAAGCCCTGGCTAGCACCAACAGTTAAGTCCTAGACTACTAGCTGAAAGGTAGTTCAAACCCACGCAGGCGCACCTGGGAAGGTGCCTGGTAATCTGCTCTTAGAAATCCTAAGGAGTATACTTCTGCTCTGCTCACGTCTACCTCAGCAACAGTGGAAGGAATGGAATCACTTACCACACTGTAACTCATGGGCCAGTCAGCTGAGATTTCCCCAGTGTTGAGTAGGTTCTAAACCTGGTCACTCTGGGCAATGTAAACAGCAGCAGAGACACAGTGTTAGGCACATAGTGGGGCAGGCAGATGCCATGTGAGGTGGGACCCAGGAAGCCTGGGATCCTAGCAAGGAGGAATTGGCATGGCTGACACCCTGACTCGGACTCTGAGCCTCCTGCTCTTGAAAGCCTCCCACTTGTGGCATTTTGGTTGCAACAGTCCTAGAAAATGGAGACAGAGATTTAACCTTTTCCAGGGAGAACATCTCTCCTGAGTGGGTGGGTGAGTGGCTGCCATTACCCTCACTTCCTTCTGGGCCTGCGCTGCTCACCAGTGCCTCAGAGGGTCAGGCAAGACTCTCCCCACACAGGGCAGAGGGGCCTGGGGCTGCCGCAGACTGCTCCACGTCACTTTCCCTTCAGCCCACCAATACCATCTTGAAGCTAAAATGAAACTTCAAAAGCTGCCCATGGCCAGTAAAGGACAAGGACCATGTGGGGAGGAGAGATTTGGGGTTCAGAATCCTCCACATCTTTGCTTCTGAGGCCGTTCTATTTGAGGCCCCTGCATCCTCTGGGTTGGTCTGCTGTCTTCAATCCTCTTTTCAAAACGGCTTATTATCTTCACAGCTCCTTTGTTCGTCTTTGAAGCTATGAGGCTCAGCAGGCCTGCTGCAAACGGATCTTTTCGGGTCTTGGTCTGGCTCCTTGTTTTCTCCAGTAGCTGCATTCCCTGGCTGCTGGTCCCTTCCAATGGTACAATGGTACCACTCCCACCTTTGCCTCAATTGTCACATATCCTTCTCCGATCTGACCCTCCTGAATTAAAATAATTTTCAGACATCCACAACCTCAAAAATATTGACCTCCCATGTAGTCTCTTGTGGATTCCTGGTGTGACGCTGTGGGTTAATGCACCAGACTGCAAAGCCATTTGAACTGCAAGGTCGGCGGTTCAAGCTCACCAGCTGCTCCTTAGAAACCCTATACAGGGTCACTATGGGTTGGAGCTGACTCAACGGTGATTCACAACAACAACAAATGTAATCTCTTGTGGGAGACTACGGAAGGATACACACCACCGAAACAAACATGTAGGCAGGCATGGGGTGCAGGAAACAAGAACCTGCACCCCAAGGGAAGCAAAGAGAATGTCCAGGATATGGGGAGGGAAGAAGGCAGGATCCCAAGCGGGCTACAGGCACACACCAGTCAGGGTAGACCAAGCACATGTACACCAAGGTGTGAGAATGGCTGTCAGTCAAAACAGAAGTGTACATCAAGAAGACAGCCCAGAGAAGCATGAAGGAAATGCCCAGAACAGCAACCAAGGGGACTGCCGTGGAAAATCTGGGCAGGCTGCCCAGAGAGAAGATGATGGGAGGGATACGGCCACAGAGAGCCGGGCAGCTATTGAAGTGGACAGATGCCCCGCAGTGGCCGATCTGACCTGGTGCAGCGTATGGGAAAAATACCCAGGAGGCTCAAAGAAAACCGAACAACTGAAAAATCAACTCTTCTTTTCAGTAAGGACAAAAATGAGAAAGGAAACAAACACAGAAGTCAGAAAGAAGTGTGAGTGTGGCCATCCTTCCTCACCAGAGGGCCTCCTGCCCTGGGCTCTGTCCTTGAAGGGGCGCTGAACTTCACAACCAGCTGCCAATTCCTTTTGGTTTCATAACAACTCTTTGAAAGGTTAGTAACTGATGGAGTGTATTCAAGAGAGACACACCCATGGTCAGAGCATTTCCTGCCAAAGAGTGCAGGGCGCAGGCAGGTAGGACTGCCCACTCAGACCACCCGGGGCCAGGAGAAGTGTGTCCTTTCCTCCTTCCTGCCATGGGGGTGGTGTGGTCTTAAAAAAGGCTTTAAACTTCTGGGAGTCACATGGTATGTTTACTTGGTGAAGAATTCACTGAGCTGTACATTTTCCAATAAAAGTTACTCTACACAAATTCTCAGAAGGTAATGTAATATGGATTAATTTTGTCCTTCAGCTAAAATAGGATTTCTTAAGAGATAAAAGCACTAACTATAAAAACAAATATTGATACATCAAAAAAAAAAAAAAGAGGGAATAGAAGCAAATACTGTTAACCGATGATGCACGGAGGGGATTGTAATCATTGCAATGAAACAAAATACAATAGGTTGAGTGTAAAACCTATGTTTTCCCATGTAAACTATCACCCGAT